GTTCCCGACTCCTCGTTGTGACGGTTAACCCTAGTGGTCAGCTCGGTTGGAACTGGAATCAGCTGCATCCCCCTTTGGGCCGGTCTCTGAAGGTACTGCCTGGAAGGGTTACCTGAGAAGGGAACACTCCCTGGAGTGGGCAGGACCTTCCTGCAGCAGTGCAGATAGAAGGAGATCTGATGGGAAAGTTTGCCTGCCTTCCTTCCCTCCTTGCTGGTGAGTCTATCCGCTTTGCCGCTGCTGCTGTTGCTATCAGAAGCCACATTTTTCAGGTTCCCATTGTAGATGGAGCAGTAGCTCTGTGGAATCCTGTGGGCCTTCAGGCACTAAACTGGGACCTAGAACTACTGATGCCTCCAGCTCACGGACTGAGCAACTAATGGATGCCCAGCCTCTCCAGCATGCAGAGGGCCATTGTTGGGCCACTCAGCTGTTACCATGGAGGCCAATCTAACACATCCTCTTTGTGATCTTCGTTCATTGTGTGGGCTCTGTCCCTCTAGAGAACCCTGACTAATACTCATCATTCCGCTGACTTCGATGTACAGGAGAGGAAAGCAGCCCCTGTTTTTCTCCATGGGGTGGGGCCTCACCACAGCTGAGGCTGGCCTCCAGGCCCTGGGAGCGCAGGCTACGACGGCACATGGAAGAAGCTCTCTGGGAACTCCGTGGTTGTGGCTCCGGCGTGGGCTCCGGTGTGGACTCTGGCTCCAGGTCCAGTGAGGATTCAGGTTCTGTGGTGGGACAGGCAAGGTTTGGCATGCCACCCTTGAACTGTCAGCCTCCACAGCAAGGAAGGTGAGGGAAGAAGTGACCACCACCATATGTGACCACTGGACCCTGGGGCCTTCCTGCCTTGTCCCAGGATAACGCTACAGGTTTTCTTAGGTCATGCTGAAGATGAAACCCAGTACCTTGTGCATGCTCGGAAAGAGTTCTACCACTGAGCCACACCCATCCCCTCACTGGGGGATTCTAGGCAGGTGCTCTACCACTGAGCCACACCCCAGCCCCTCACTGGGGGATTCTAGGCAGAGGCTCTACCTCTGAAATACATGTATCTCTAGCTCTTTAAAGTAATGCTTAAGCAGAATCCCGAGACCAGAACACAGGTACCTAGAGTAAGAAAAGCAGCTGAAGGTGGATCTCTGTGAGTTCGAGGCCAGCCTGGTCTACAAGAGCTAGTTCCAGGATAGGCACCAAAGAAAGCTACAGAGAAACCCTGTCTCAGGAAAAACAAAAACTAAACAAAACAAAGAAAAGCAGCTGAAGGATGGAAAGTCTAGTGGAGGCTGATGCTGTTCCCAACAGGGCTCTGGGTCCATGCTTCTGGATCCCAACACCCTGTGCTTATTCCAGGTGGCTTACCGACACCCAGTAGAACTCGTTAGGCAAACTGAAAATGTTCTGGACACATGCTGCCCTTCTGGGGACCCTGCGTTTCATGCTAAAAGCCCTTAGCCCTCCTCAGTCCTCCAAGCTGTAGGAAGTAGGTACCGTGAAGGAGAAGCATTAGCAAATGTGGCTGCAGAGTGTCTGTAGCAGGTAGGTCACAGGACACTGTGCTCACCCAGGACTTACGTGGGTTTCCATACTTGCACAGCAAGTGCTTACATCACTAATTCTTATCTTCAGCCCCAAGCGCAGGGGTTTTTAGGCACATGGGGGACATACTCTAACAGTGTAGGTAGCAGTGGAACAGTAAGGTTGTGTGTGGCTCAGCGGCCCCCTGCATGTGTGCTTGTGCACTGGAGTCTACCAGCCAAGGTGATCTGACCACGGGGCCCTAATCCAGGTGACATGTACTGATGAATTTGTAAACGGTGAACAGGATGCATGAATTCAAAATTGTTTATATGTGTATATGTGTGTATGAATATTTGCATGTGTGTGTTTGTGTGCATGCATGTGTGCACATGTGGAGGTCAGTGGTTCTTCTATCACACTCTCCTTTATATATTGAGGCAGGGCTTCTCTCTTGAACCCAGAGTTTGTCATCCATTTTGCTAATCTTGATAGCCAATGTGTTTCAGGGGTCCCCAATCCCCTACCTATGGAGTGTTAGTATTATAGGTGGTCGGCCTCACCTACCTGGCTGTAATATGGGTCCTGGGAATCTGAACTCTAGTCCTCCTACTTGCTCAATAAATTCTTTTACTACTGAGCCATCCCTAACCTCTTGTTTTGATTCCGAGACAAGGTCTCACTATGGGCTACTGTGGTATTTTTAATGAAATACGGTCCCCTTAGGCTCATAGGGTGTGGCACTATTAGGAGGTATGGTCTTGTTGGAGTAGGTGTGGTTGTGTTTGAGGAAGTGAGTCACTGGGGGTGGGCTTTAGGTTTTAAATGCTCAAGCTCAGCCTAGCATTACTCTCTTTTCCTGCGGCTTGCAGATCCAGATGTAGAACTTGCAGCTACCTCTCCAGCACCATGTCTGTCTATGTGCCACCATGCTCCCTGCCATGATGATAATGGACTAAACCTCTGAACTGTAAGCCAGTCCCAATTAAATGTTTCCTGTATAAGAGTTGCCATGGTGTCTCTTCACAGCAATAGGAACCCTAACTAGGACAGCTACATTGTGAGTCTCAGCTGACTCCAAACTTAGAATCTTCCTGCCTCAGCCTCCCCAAGTGCTGAAGTTACAGGCCTGAGCCACCATGCCTGGCCATGGATTCTCCAACAAAGACAGGGCTATAGTTCAGTTGGAGAGCACTCGGTTAGCATGGGCAAGACCCTGGGTTCCGTCCCCACTGGTGTAACCTGGCTGAGGTGACATACGCCCCAAATCTCATCACATGGGAGATGGAGGTGGGAAGATTAGGAGTTCAAGGCCTGCCTGGGCTACACATGAGTTTGAGGTCAGCTTGACTGTGTGAGACTCTGCTTGAGAGAGGAGAGAGGAAGAGGAGGAAGCAATGGAAAGGATGAAGAAATGAGCACTTTCCACTTATGCCGTGCTTGCCACATGAAGGACTAACTGCGCAAGCACAATCCTCCCAGCCAAGCTCCAATGTTGAGTATGTATCTGCCAGACCCTGGGCATAGGGGCATATTATGTGAAGGCCAGACCTCTGGGAGGCGAGAACAGGTGTCTGCTGGGTCACCTGGCAAGTGGGGCGGCTGGCAGCCACCCCCAGGGACTGCTTACCTGTCATGGCCGTGTAGCCCAGGAAGCACGCGATCTTCTCCTGACACAGCTCTTGCTCCTCGTAGGTCAGCAGCTGGTAGAGGAACTGCCAGAGGACCTGCTTAGCAGGTGTGTCCAGAACAGGGTACACGTCCACGATGAGTGTGTCGATGTTCCTGCGGGGGGAGGGTGCAGAAGCAGGGAGCTCATCACTGCGGGTGTGGATGAGGCGGTGGCTCCAGGCCCTGGAATTCAGCTCACGCCTCGACCTCCACCCTCGAAGGACAGAGCAGAGAGGACTGGAAAGCAGTCTCCAGAGGCAGTCCGCTCTGATTCAAATCCCAGTTTGGGCTGGGAATGTTAGCTCATTGGTGGAGCGCTTACCTAACATACTCAAGGTTCTGGGTTCATTTCCCAGCACCACCATCAAAAAAAAGTAAGAGTCAAATCCCAGCTTTGCCATTTACCAACTAAGTGACCTTTCTCAAGCAACTTAACTTCTTTTCTTTTGCAAAATTGGAGCTAAAAATAATATCAGGTAAAGGTGTTTGCCGCCAAACTCACTGACTCCTGTGGGCACTGTGGCGTTCATGACCCCCATATTCAGTAAGTAAGTAAGTAAGTAAGTAAGTAAGTAAATAAATAAATAAATGTTTTTTAAAAGAAAGATTGGGGGATGAAGATGAAGGAGCATGTCACAGAAAGTTGTTGGTATTCCTTTTACATGTGACAAGGTTCCAACATTCACCATGGTGATGGTTACATATAATTGCAAGGATATCAAAACTACCAAACCACTGAACTGAACAATTTGATGAATGAACTGTGGCCAGAGAGATAGAAGGCTCAGTGATTAAGATCATTTGTGCTGTGGGGCAGTGGTGGTGCACGCCTTGAATTCCAGCACTCAGGAGGCAGAGGTGGGCAGGTCTCTGTGAGTTCGAGGCCAGCCTGGTCTACAGAGGGAGTCGCTAGACAGGCAGGGCTACAAGGAGAAATCCTATCTCCAAAACCAAAATAAACAAACAAACAAACAAACAAATAAATAAATAAATAAGCATTTGTGATGCTAATGCAGAGGACCCAAGTCCAGTTCCAGAGACCTACCTATCAGCTCACAAACACCTATAACTCCAGTTCCAATAGATCTGACGCCCTCTTTTGGCCTGTGTGGCACTGCACACATGTGGTGCACTTACATGCAGGCAGAACAGCCATACACATAATATTTAAAATTAAAAACAAATAAATGACTGAATTATATAGCATGTGAATTATATTGCACACTATATGTTATGTAAAGGTTAGAATTATATATACTTTAAACCAAATCAAAAAGAATGGCTAGGAGGAAGGCTTGCTACAAGGCATGACAGACATAGCTACTGTTAAAAAAAAAAATTCCAGGGGGCTAAGTGCGAACTGGTGAGGTTTCTTGATTGGCGCCCCATTAACTGTTTCTGCCTGCCTCAATTCACAGAAATGTCTGTATTTGCCCATGGTGTCAGAGTCCAGATTAGCTGGGCATAGTGGCAGTGACCTTTAGTTTCAGCACTGAGGAGGCCAAGACAGGGTGATCTCTGTGAGTTCCAACCCAGTCAGCTGCTACAGAGCAAGACCGGGTCTCAAAAGTAAATAAAGGAATAAATTTAAAGGGTGGGGTTTGTTCTAGGGCACCTCAACTCCCTTGATACTAGCTATTGCCTTTTTAGAGCCTTCTCTCCCCAAAAAGGGTGAGGAGGCACGGGCAGGAGGACCAGGATTGCCAGTTTTAGATGGGACTTGGGTGGGGCCCAAACAGGTTAGGTCCCTACTGCTATGCCCAAGGCACCTGTGCTGGAAGAAGCTCTCAAGAGCCCGACAGATTCCATAGCGCTCGGGAGGAGTGAGGAGGTGGTCCAGCTGCTGACTGAAGGTCCTCCCTTGGACTCGGATACTGGAAGGCAGGATATCTGCCACCCACTGCAGCGAGGTGAGAGCCGATGACCGGGTCGGGGAATCCAAAGAATCTGAATCTGCGGGAGACCAAGGCATGGGGAGGTACGGGTGACCTGGAGTCACCAGGTTAGGTGCAGTTTCCCAGACACCTGGGGTCAGCAGCCTTCTGAGCTGGGGCGTGCAATATATTGGAAAGGCAAACTTTGTAGAGAGCACTGAACAGCATTGAACGCGGCTCTATAGCAACCCCTGGCGGCGCTCCTGGGAAGCGACCAATACAGTATTGGGAAATGTATGGCTTAATAGTCTCACCGCTAGCAAAAGGGACCGGTCCTTCCTCTACCACCAGCGTGGGCATTGCGCCACTGCCTTGCAACATGGACACCACCTTGTCGTGGGAGCAGTTCCTGCAAAGGAGATGGCCCATGAGGGTCTGACAAGTGATGTCTGTCCATCATGTAGAGGTCACCCAGCAAATCACTGTTCATTCAGGACTAGCCAGAACCCTAACTTTCACATAAGTTAGGGTCTTGTGCAGTAGACGCCCCAGGCATTCGACAGTTTGGTCTGCAGATGCCCTGGGCTTGGCATTCCTGGCCATAGAAAAAGCTATATTTCCAAGACTCCCCTCCAGAGCAAGAAATAATTGGTCTTTTCCATTCTGTGTTCTCAACATGTAGCTGTAATATTTTCAGCTGGAAGGATGGATTCAAGCGGAACGCTCAGTACTGGGTGAGCATGGTATAACTCCAGTACTTGGGAGCTGGGGCAAGAGGATTGGAAGAATTTGCATAATTTGAAGCAGTCTGAACTATATAGCAAGTCCAAGTTGCCTGGACAACTAAACAAGACCTTGTCTCAAAACAAAGAACTTAAAAAGGGCTGGCTTGGTAGCTCACACCTGCAGTCCAGCACTCATTGGAGGTAGGTGGATTTTCATGAATTCAAGACAAGTCTGGGTTACACAGCGAGTTCCAAACCAGCCTGAGATACAGAGTGAGGCACTGTCTAAAAAGAGAAATCTTAAATAAAGGGCTGAGGATGTAGCTCTGAGACAGTGTTTGCCTAACCCAGGGTCTTGTGTTCAGTTCCCAGTATGACAGGAAAAAATAGCCTCAGGGGACGGTGGATAGACATAAGCAATAGGACATAAGTCAGAAGGAAATCAGGGCCACTGTTAGTGTCCAAAAAGGCCAAAAGTCTTGGGGGATGGTTCATCACCAAGATCACAAGACACCTCAGGGATGGCTCACCTCATGTCCAGTCCATTGAGGAAGAGGATCCGGTCACCTGACTTGAGGGACGCATTTTCAGCTGGGCTGCCTGGAGAAGAGAGAAGGTCAGTTGACCTTCTTCATAGTGGAAAGTGGAATTGTGTGGGATTCTCCTCTCTCTACCCCACGGTGTGAGCCAAATAACCATTCTTCAATTTTGAGGGCGATAAGAGAGAGTCAGGGCTGTCGAGATGGTTTAGGGAGCCAGAAAGTTCACGTGAAAGTTCATTGCTCCCTGAGACCCATGTGGTAGAGAGAACTGACTCCTACAAGTTGTCCTCTGACCTTCATACACACACACACACACACACACACACACACACACACACCGGATGACACATGTATCCCACCCCTCCTCCTCAAAATAAATAAGTGTAGTTTAAAAGAAGAGAAATGAGCTTTAGATACAACTGAGGGACAGAAAAGGACTCACCTGCAGTCATGCATTTCACATGCAGACCAACCAATGCACAACCCTAAGCATGCACCTCACACAGACCAACCAATAAGCATGCATTTCATGCCGACCAACCAATCCACAACCCACACCCTGAGCACCTCCTCTAGGGAGTGTGCCCCAGTAGGCCACTGTCCACCTGCCTTCAGTAGCTTGAGGCTAGGAACCAGGCAGCCAGAAGAGCAACAGCCTCTAAACCCAAGAGCCCATGGGCATTGCTCAAAATCACAATGATGATTAATACTGCCAGCTGGACAGAAGCTAGAATCACTTAGGGGCAGGCCTCCAGACACACCTGTGGGGTTATCTAAACTAAAGTTAGCCTCTGAGAAGGCGAGAGAATGTCTTCATCATGGTAACCCATGTGGGGAGACCCCTTTTAGCCATCAGCAGAGATGTTCCCCGGGTGGGGAGGCTGGGCTGCCTAAAACAGAGAAGGTGAGCCAAGCACTAGCAATTACCACTCCCTGCTAGTTTCCCCCCTTTCATTTCCATGCGTGTGCATGTGGCATGCATGTGTGTGCAAGTGTTTTCGTGTGTGTAGGTGGATGTATATGTATATGTGTGGCTGGGTGTAGGTGTGTATGTAGAGGCCAGAGATGTCATCCTCCACTGATCTTCTACCTTGTTCACTGAGGCAGGGCTCTCAATCAAACCCAGAGCTCATCCATGTGGCTGGCTGGCCAGCCAGCTTGCTCTGGGAGTCCCAGCAGGCTGCCATCCCACCCAGTATTTATTTATTTATTTATTTATTTATTTATTTATTTATTTATTGTTTTTTTTTTTCTAGACAGGGTTTCTCTGCGGTTTTGGGGCG